ACGGGAAGAGGGCCTGCGATTTGGACGCCCAGTGCGTCGACTGTCATAAGTGGTATTGCGTGGCATTGGGTCGAGTGGCCAAGTATTGCACCATCAAAGACAAAGTGAAATACGGACAAATATTCAAACGACACCTCGATATTGCCCATCGATTGGATCCAAACGACTTTCTTCTGCACTTTATGGCCGGCCGTTACGCCTACGAGTTGTCGTCTCTTTCGTGGCTCGAGAGGACAGTTGTGAACGCTATATACGGCTCAATGCCGACCACCAGTTTCGATGAGGCGCTCAAAGAGTTCACTGTTTGCGATAAATTGAGACCCCATTGGAAAGACAATTATCTGTGGATCGCGAAGACATTGATCGCTATGAAGAATAAACGCAAGGCTAAGGAGTGGGTGGACAGAGGACTGGCCCTCAAGAGTAGGGATAAGTTGGATGAGATGGCACACGAAGGGCTCAATAAACTTAAAAATGATCATAAATTGGATTAAATATGAAAAGTATTGTTTTAAACATTTTGACTGATTTTATGACCATTTTTCGGATTTGTTGGGAATTAATAAAAAATCATTTCCTGTTATGAATAATTGTGAATATTTAATAATGAAATTGATTTTAATTGTAATTTTTAGTTTATGTAAATCTTTTGTTTTTGTTAAGTTTGTAATAAATATTTAATTTGAGATTAATCTACACTTTGTTAGATTTGTTTATAAAATATCGTAGATTTTACTGAATATAAATTTATTCTGTTAAAAAAAAGACAATAAATTGCAAACAAAATAATAAATTGATGTTTGTTTCAAATCAAAGTTAATGTAACAAAAAATAGTGATATAAATACACGAGTAAATGGAAATTCATAAACGATAATAACTTATTTGTTCAGAAATGCAACATTGTTTTTATTATATTATTAACCATTTGTTATATATTTTTAATGTCAAACATCAAGTTTGCACATGTGTTTCAAAACATTATTTAATCTTTAATTATCATTACATGTGATGTCGTCAGAGAGACGAAAGACTTGGAAATGATTTGTTATATTGTTATAAAGAAATGCTTGAAATATAACATAAAATATAATAATTCTCTTATATTAGACATTATTTACACCATTTAAATATTTGATTTATATTATATAACATTAGATTTGATTTTAAAACTAAATTATTTTACATTGTTAAATGGTTTATAATCCTAATTTTTAGATATTTTTGAAAAATAAAAATTGCTTTATCAAACTTTGATAAACACTCAAACTTTTCAATAAAGGTTGTATTCAACAAAAATAATAAATCAATTAAATATCAAGAATATGACAAACAATTGTTGAATTTTTTCAACTTTTTTGTTATAAAAATAACTCAAAACGATTGAGTGTTTTGTCACATCCTTTTCACATTCATTTTCATTGAATTTTAAACAACAAAATATGTTGAATACTTTACCCCCAGAAATAATTCAACAATTATTGTTTTCAGATAATGTAATTTTGTACTTTATTGTACAATACTTTGATTTTGTAAAATAATACGAAAGGTTTGAATAAAAATTAGTTTTAAACAAAATTTTGTTTTAATTTACATTAAATTTAACATAAATTATGCAATAAAAATTTAGTTCAAGTAATTAATCAGAACAGTATTCAATATCAGAGATACAAAAAGTACACAAAAGTATACAATGTTTTAAAATTTAAAATAAAAATTCATTATCAGTAATGATATTTTAATTGAATAGCTTTATGAAAGGTATTGCACAGGGAGTGGAGGCGTATCCAAAAGGACGTTGAATTGAAGCACACAAACAGGACTTTTAATTGTAAAAACCATATATTCAAACATGTAATAAATCATACGATTAAACATGGAATCTAAACGCTAATTATGTGTACATGGCTTACATATACCCCGATCATTGTTACGGCATTATGTGTGTTGAATAATAGGCTTCTCTCACTAACACATACAGAGACACTGTATTGTCATTTGGTTTTCATTACCAATCCTGTAGTCATTGTGTGCTTCAACTTCTACTCGAAGGCCTCTCGCAGTCTTCTCACCTGTTTTTGCAATACTTTGCGCATAAAATCACAGAATATTTTGCTTTTAATATATTCTGTGATATATTTCTCAATGAATTTTAATCGTGTATTGATTTTAAAGAAATGATTTCCAAAAGTGAAAATGAGGCCAATTTTATGGGCCTATCGATCGGGAAACTCACAAACGGTATGATTATATATTGTACAATAGCTATATCAAATACATGTAACTTTATATTTCTTATTTAATATTTTATTTGTCAATAATTGTTGCTATTATTGCTGCTAATAATTAAGTTAATTAGTAAGTATAGTGTGATTTGTGTAAAGTTATTAAATTTAGCTGTTTTTAATAAAACACGTTGAATATAACTTGTTTACCAGATTAACACAACTAGCATATTTTTAAATTATAATTGATAAAACTAAATATGGAAATGTGTTTTAAAATTAAAATTTTAAAAATTGTCAAACATTTAAATAATTAAATAATATAAGTATTATGTTTAAATGTTTAGTTATTTTGGACACGATTAATTTATATTACATCATAATGTATGTAAATAATATCGTTGGCTTGACATTTATATTAATCTATAACTTTTACATATTTTTAAAAATTAAATTCAAATTGTTAAAGCATCATGGCTATTTAAATTTAATCTAAAAGGTTACTATGTCAAAATAAAATCATAACAAATGTAATGAATTAAAATTGTTTACCAAATCAACATAAACTTTTATTATATAGTAATATTTTTACACTTAATAAATCATTGCTTAAATAATGCGATAAATATTATATAAATTACCTTTTATATATATTATATAAAAATCCTTTAATTTATAACAAATATAATTTTATCTATCAATGAATCTGTTTAATAGTAGTCATGAAGTCTTAGTATTTCTTACTTTTTAGTAAATAATTTCAAGATTACCACTAATTTATTAATACTTTTGTCAATTCAAAAATTAAATCAATTTTATAAATAATGAAAACATAATTAATAGTAAAAAAAGTTCCCAATATTTGTGAACAATACACATAAATAAAAGCTTTTTGATTTCATACAAAAAATATTATTAAACATCATATACATGTTGAATGAAAGCTCTAATTTAAACAAGGTCTAAAATATTTATTTGTATAATTACTAGAAATGATAATTAAAAATACCACAAAAAATAATGACTACAACAGTGTTTTCTTCACTAATCAATAGCATTTAAAAAACATATTGAATGAGCGCCGGGAGGGGCAGGTGTTTAGATACAATTCACCAACAGTTGTCAATGTTTTTCTATATACGTGTATATATTCTGTACATATTCTCCATGGCTTATACATTAAAAACCATTTATAATAAACAAAACTCAAGGATTTTACGAATTATAAAAAAGTATTTTAAATTAATAAACTATTTGCAAAAATATAACAAACATTTGAAACATCTCTGATTCAACTCTAACATGTAGTTAACTAATGTTAATAATATTAACAAAACAATTTATTGCCTGCCTTTTGTGCTGTAATAACAAAACAATTTCGTAATAATTATTAAATGAAAATTTTACATTAAAATCACGTCAAAATAGGTGTCAATTTGTTGGTGATTTTGGTCAGTATTGGGTTCATTGCGTTCACATTAATGGTTGTCTTATTAATCAAATATCGGTCCCAGAGGTTGAAGAAGAAGAATAGCATTTGCGAGGAAACGGTTGAGTCCGGCATCTTATCGCCAGACACTAAACGCGTCAAAATGTAAGTTCCCTTTAAATAGTATTGCCATTCAATCATAAATATAATTGTCTTGTATTTTCATTTTGTTTTTATTAACTACAAGTTATAGATATACTGTATGTTTCCCTTACTATTGACTAATTAATAAAATGTAATTTAATAATTAAAATCAGTACAAAATGCGATATAAAGAGCAATACGGATAACTCTGACTCGAGTGACGATCAGGTGTTGTACGAGAAGGATGAGAGGTATAGGACTGATAGAGTGCAACCCAAACGTCAATCCCTGCGTCCAACGCAACAGTCGGTCACGTCGTCGATGGAGTCCGAGATGGAGACCATTCCCTCTTTGGTGGTGTCGGTCGTGACCGACGGCACGAGGGCTTCGGTCGCACTCATCAAAGCCAAGAATCTGCGCCGAAGCGGTCACTCGTCCACCGATCGACTCATACCGGAGGGTGTGTTCGCCCGCATATATCCCACGTATAGGACAACGTCTACCGACAGTTCCCAAACGGAGAGCGAACAGAGCCAACACCGGCCGCGCGGAAGCGGCGGTGCTGTCGGCGGTCACGAGGAGTACTTCGAGAGCCCGTATATAAAGTCTAAGAAATCAAAACTCATTAAATTCAGTGAGAAAGAGAGGTTTGATGTGTTGGGCGACAACTTTCCCATTCGGTTATCGGTCTATGAATACGACAAACAGAGGGTCCGCTATAATATTGGAAATTGTTTCTTGAATATCGATGTCCGCGACAACTATCACACCAAACAAATCATTGAATTGTCTTTATATAAAACCTTATATAAGGCTAAGAGTGCGGCACAAACTCGCAGATAACTTTCACGGCTGGCTCTTTGGTTACACAACACTTCACTATTGATGATATAATTATTGCAATTTATCTAATTTATAGCTTTTATCTATATTTATGAAAAATTAATTTTATTATAAATTTACAGATTATTTGTAAATTAATTAACAATATATGTCAGGCATTTAAATAGAACTCACCATGAATATTGAAACTTATAGAATAAATTAAGTAAAACATAACAATTGAAAAATGTATAACGATCAAACTTACCATGACAGGGACCAATTGTGTGCTACCATAATGTTTAAGATTGTGGTTCTCTATAATTTATATACAATTTGTTAATGCATTTAGAAACGTTATTGGTTTATGTGTTTTGTATTTAAATAGTTAATTATGGCTTTAATTGCAAATTAGAGCCAATTTTGGTAAAACTTTTTAATAATAAGATCAATACAATAGTACTGAACATGTATTTACACGTATTTCTACTGTAAATGAATTACTCGTCTGATGATGAGTCGCTCAACCGCTCAACAGTTGTGGCAATTTTGCCCATATTTTGTCGGTAATACTGACACCAATCGCGGAATATTCTGCGGATTCGTCTCAACTCGTACTCCATAAAGTCGCGATTGGTGTCATAAAATTGCAGCATGTTCACTTTCAACAAATTTGTGATCACGTCCAACAGTTTTCCCGTTCCCAGCAATAGGCAAGCGTTCAGATCGACCACCAGTTCCAGCAAATGTCTCAACATTGCTAACTGTCCGCCGCTTGACTGCATGAGGCGCAACATCGGCTGTTTGAGCTCATCCATGAACAGAGTGTTTCCCTCGCCGTCCACTTCGTCCTCTTCGTCGTCGGCCATCTGTTGTCCGCCGGGTCTCCAAATGGCTAACGGAATGTGTGTCCGCTTTTTGCGATACAAATTCCATACAATGAGCGGGTATTGAGGAAATGCGGCCAAAGGTGTCCGACAGACATCCTTTGTGGACATGATTTCTTGGAGGAAATCCAACTCAAGGTCCAGACCGGCAAAAAGCACGGATCCGATCACTGAGTTGGGATGGTGGCCCTTTTGCTTGGAGACAAGCGGTTCCACGTGTTTGGGCAACACCTGCATTGTTCTCAACGCCTCCCAGTCCTGGGCGCCGGTATTTGGCGCTTCTTCGATAGC